GCCCGCCTCCCGCCCGAAGGTTTGCTGGGGTTTTCCCGTCTTTTGAGTTTTCCTGCGGTGAGTACTTGGGAGGCCGGTACCGCCGAGGGCGTGAGCCTCTCCGGTGGGCCCTGGCCGCTGTGAGTGGTGACTCCCGAAACGCTGCCGTGTGCCGACGCAGAAAGTGTAACAAGTTCAGATTTTACTCGCAACGGGTTATTGTTGGCGCTGAAGGCGGAACACGCGGTGGATCCGCGTCCTTATCTGGGAATATCTCTGGTGGTTCTGCCCCATGGTTAGGACAGAAGTTGAACTACAGTCGGTTGCTGAGTTCTTCCAGGCAGAATATTCGCGGAGCCGTTTTCAAACAGAAGCCTGAGGGGAGTTAAAAATGATGTTGGTGCTGGATTTTAACCAGGAGCTCTTCTCTGAACAAATAGACTCTGCACCCCGTGAACACTATGAGGATAGTGAAGCTGTAGTGGGAGGAGAGGGATGACTGGAACCATGGTTCGGTTTCACAGGTAGCATTTCTTCTTGTGCTTCACACTGAATACATCTGGCCATCTCACTGAGAAGCCAATGGCAGCATAGGGGGCTGGTGGCCTCATCTTTACAAATTCTGACCTTTTTGGCAAATCAGATTCCTAGATCAATAGTCCAACGGTTATATTAAAGGTGACTCTTCTGTTTACCAATGGAGCAAGAGTGGTAACTGAAATTATGATTGTATAGGTGGATTTCAGTTGAGCTGTCCAAACTGAAAGACATGCTGATTTTTTTTGTTCTGTTTTGTTTTCTTTCCTTTCCTCCCCTTAAAAAGCTCAGACTTCTTGTACAAGAGCAGAATGATGATCTGGGTAACTCCCTACATATGAAGAAATCTTTTTCCTTGGACGATGAGCTGGCTCGATTGTGGTACTATGGTTCATTTAAAAACAATGATGCAGAGCCAGAATTAAAGCTGACTCTGAGGCCAACTGTTCAAGTGTTGGGTGCTTCTTACTTGGCACTGTCATGTGTTGTATCTTCTAGGGTTTAGCAGCTTCTTTCCCAGTGTTAGTCTTGCCGAAGGCTCAGTCCAGCTTCTAACGATGTATTCATCAGCAATCTGGGTCTTGGCGTAGCAAGTGATATCAGAGTGTTGACTCTGCTTTTCTCCAGCACTTCAGCCCTGCTCTCTCACGAAAACGCAGTCAGTTGTGTGGTCTGCATCAACCAATTCATGCAACTAAGCTCCTATGTATGAAAAAACAAATTGGTTTCAATAACTTCAGGTAGAGCAGTTGAGACTTAAAGCCTATGATGTTTTTCTGTGTAGGCTTTGTTTCTGTTTCTAATTGAGTAAAGATACTGCAAGGTGTAGCCGAGTTCACAACTCAACTCATCACAGTTTAGCTCATACCTCTGCCATTGTTGACAAGAGGATGCCAGATGCTGTTATGCTTTGGAAAAAATATTGCCCTCTCTTAGATGTACGTACAGCCCCTTGCACAGGGAAATCACAGTGCTTTACTGTGTCACAACTCCAGTATGTGGCACCATGTCGTTGTTCTGTGTAAGTATCTCGTCTTTCAGTGTAATAGAGTGCCAGCTCTCATCTGGTTATGAGTTACTCTAAACAGGGGGAGAGAGAGAATTAAGATTAAGTGCTGTAAATCTGTGCGTACTTCTGATGCAAATTTCAAAATTTGTTATGCCTGGAGAGGTGCAACTCTGAATTTTGCCTACCAGCAGAGTTTCATGGAAACTTCTAACCTGACCTCAGATGGTGACTTTGCATATCCCACCCAGTGCTGACCGCTCCAGAAATTCTTGCATCGTTCATGACGCTTATGCTTGTTTTAGGAGTTGCTTGTAAGAGGAGGTAACTATTACTGGAGGGACAGGAGGAGGTGTGATTCTATAGGATAAAATTAGGAAGTCAGCAGGAGCCAGAGGAAAATATGCTAGTTAGCTTATTAGTTGTGCTAAAGTTTAAGAGGATTTATAGGCAGCTCGCTCTTCTTGTATTTTGATTAAGTCAAGGGCTATGCTGTGGTTATAAAACCTAAATATGATACGAGTTAAAAATTTCCTGTGATGGAAATAGCAGCATGCATGTGGAGCACTAGCTATTTAAATGCATTAGTTTAAGGCTGTAGGAAAATGGGCCATTTGGAAAGTACAGCTAATTTTAAAGAGGCTGCTTTCTGCGTGAGCTGTGATCTAGAAGCAGCCTCCCATGAGTATGGGAGTTTAAAGTAAACTATGGACATACCTGCACTTAGTACTGGTAAGACGTTGGGAGCAAGTACATTTAGTGTCTGGAGGACTTCTTGCTTATCTCCAACATGAGACGGCGCACATCTTTATGGGTTTTACGGAGCTATTTGACAGTGTGTGCATAAATCCTTTGTTGCAACTTTCCAGCTGAGTGGTGATCAGCCAAGAGTGAAGTAATTGAGGATGAAGCTGGGGCAGAAGTTGCAAGGTGTTGCTGAACCTGTTATTTGGAAGATGAAGAGTCCTAATGCAAGCTCACGCCCTTTGGTTGATGTAACACCAGTCAACTGTTGCCTCATTGAGGCAATTCAGTGACACCAATGGGTCCTTCTAGAAAGAAGTACAGAAATCCTCAGAAGAGCCATAGTTGAAATGGAACAGTCAGACCCAGAAACATCCCAAGGAAAGAAAGGAAAATGATGGTCTGTTTCAGTTGACAAATACTTCTTCCTGCACCCAGAGAGACCTTAGAATATCTGAGGTCCTTCAGATGCTGAGCCAAGGCACTAAATGTATCTTAGAAATGCAGCATGGAGTTCAAGCAACACTGGCTGCAGGATTTTACGGTATCTTGTATTGCTAGTTTCCAGTGTTTGTTTTGAACCAGATGTGCTAGGAATTTCAGCTTGAAAGGATTTCCTCTGAAAATTTTCTCAAATGGTCTCTTTTTTTTATTGTTGTTTCAATCCTAAATGGTTTAAAGCTACAGATGCACAAAGGACGATGTGTATCACCCCCCCATCTACCTTCTAATTAAAACAGTTTTTAAAAATATATCATTTATATTTTGTCAAACGTGCTTCTGAGTGTCCTTCCCTTTAAGAAACTAAAAAAAAAAAAAGTTTATTTGAAGTGGCTGCATATATGGATTATCAGCCTTGTTAGGTGTGCCCTAGATAACATCGTCTGTTTGTGGAAAACATTCTTGCACTGTTCTAAGCAAGTACATACTTCGCACAGTAGAAGTGCTCTTTTCTAGGGTTGATATTGGGATGGATGTAGGTGAGTGTTTCTGAAAGTAGTTCCTTGAAATTAAGGTAATAGTCAAAAATGAATTCCTGTTTCTAGGAAGCAGTGCTGCTCAGTTTTTCTTTCTTAAGAAAGAGGATGTTATAGTCAACTGTAGTATGGTGTACATTTATTATAGTCAATATATTGTCTCCTGACAGCTTTTATAAATGCTGTCACTCTCCTTTCTCCTTGTAGTGCATGACAGTTCACATGTAGGGGAGAAACCAACTGCTTACATACAAGTAGCAAACAAATGAGAAATAAAAATACTTCTTTTGTCTGGAAGTTAGCTAGTTGCTCATCAGGTGGCACCAGAAGTGGTATTTTTGGGATATGTTTTCTTAATGTTCCATTTAATGCTTTGAACTTGTTCATCGCTTTTACTCTGGTTGGACAATATGATAACAGTCTTCAGATATGAGGTTCCTATGAGCTTCTTTTGGAAATCAACAGCTGAGTAGAGGAGAGATACCGATGGATGAAGAGGGTGTAATGTAAGTGCAGCCCCTGCTAGATCCCACAGAGCCTACAGTATTCAAGGCTGATGTAAATGCCACAGGAAAACCTTAATCAGAGTTCATGTGTTATTTGTGAACATCCTTAAGGTCCAAGTTCATGGGTATACTGAACTTTGCTAGTTTTCCAGGTTACTGAACTTAACTTTGACTTTCAAAAATATTTTTATTACATAATACTCTTAGTTGTGTGGATTAAGGAAAGCAATGAATTTCCATAAGCTGTTTTTAAAGGAATATTATTGACAGATTTCTTTAAAATGTTGATCTTTGCATTTGTGTTTTTTTCCTCTGATTTAGAAAACTCTATGTGATGTCGTTCTTATGGTTCAAGAAAGAAAGATCCCAGCTCACCGTGTTGTGCTTGCTTCAGCCAGTCATTTTTTTAACTTGATGTTTACTAGTAAGTCTGTTCAAAACTGATTGATGTAAGCTTTCGTGATGATGTCCTGCTAGACTTGTGGCTGACTAGCTGTTTATTTTATGAAAGCGATTAATTTCAGGGATAAATATAAGTGAAGATTTCCTCCTTTTATGTCCTTCCATTCATCTCTGTTCACCCTTCCCCTCAATTTCCCTTTAACTTGCTTTTGATCAAGTGAAGTGTTACCGCATATGTAAACTCTCTTATTATTGGCGCCAACACACTGTATGTTGGTCTCCCTCCCTTTACCTGAAAATTGGGAGTTTTTCTCCCAAGACAAAATTTGTCTGCCTCATTGCTTCCCACCATTAGGGACTTCCACATATAAAATGAGCTTTCAGAAGTGTAAATATTCTTGCATTTATGCTATCTTTATAAATTCAGTTGTGTAGTATCTATCTTACTTTTGTGTGTCTTATGAATTGTAAAAAATTACTGGGCTATGAAACACATTAAAGTTGAGTAGAAGTAAAATAACTGTGCCTCGCGATGGTCAGCTTCTAACCGTCTGTGGGCAAACTTAGTGCTGCGTCTGGATGTGCCGAGCTCGGAGCTGTCTCTATTGTTATCAGCTTGAATGTGGAAATAGCTTTTGACAGTGCAGCATGTCCTTCCTGTTTTTGGTAATGCTAACTTGGCAGGCTGCACTCCAGTCAACAGCGTCTATGACCTTTCCTATTTAATAGAGTTTATAATATTTTACATAATACAAGCATGCACACCCGTCACTTATCTTGTTTGTCCCTGGCCTCTTTTCTTTCCTGACTTGCGTTAGTAATCCTGGGAAAACAGCAATCAATGGTGTGCAGTTCTTAACAGGTTCCCACTTTGTATAATCACTTTCTTTTCTACTGTTTGCAAAATGTCCAATAACTGGAGTGACTTCTTGATGTAGTTTGTCTTTTAATTTATTTGCAGCAAATATGCTTGAATCAAAGTCCTTTGAAGTGGAGCTAAAAGATGCAGAACCTGACATTATTGAACAGCTTGTGGAGTTTGCTTATACTGCAAGGTAGGGTTTTTTATTTAAAGCTGATAGTTTTTCTAGGAAGCCTGCCAATTGTAAACAATAAAATCTTAAAATAATGCTTTTATGATTAATCAGTTTTGTTGCCGTTATAATTCTTCACTTTGTTTAAAGTTTGATGTGACTAGACCTTCTATCCTTCATACTTTTTCCTTTTTATTTAATCAGTAGAAAGCCCTACAGCCTAAAAAGAGTGGTAGTTGTCTCCAGAAAGCAATTCAAAGCACTTAAACCTTTCAACTTCAGTGTTGGAGTAAAATGATACTTCCTATTGTTCTGAAATTCAGGCCCTTATTCATATCAGCAGAGTTTCTCTTTATGGCTATGGTAGCTATTGCACAGAGCCATTTCCAGGAGTTATACTTTCATCTCAGGACAGGCAGGGTGGATAACTGTTCCGTGAACAGCATTTCCCTTCTATCTCAGGTTGTCCATGTGTTTGGTGGTTGGGTGCTTTTTTTAACAGAGCTTGTGCAGATGACTAGCATTGTAAACAGTACTTCTTCATCGGTTGTCATGACTGATGGATGGCAGGCCTTTCATCTTTGTACTACTGGAATTAACTCTCCTTAGGAAGACTTTCTCCTTTCTTTGAGAAGAATCTTGTTGTATGCCCCATCAGTGGTGAAAGACAGTGTCAGCACCCCAGCCACATGGTTGCCTCCCCTGGTGCCCAAGCCCTTGTCTGAGGGTTCTGTACCTTATCTTGAAGCACTGCTAAACTGGCTGTTCTGCTTGTGCACTCTGGGCAAATTGTCTTGACAGTGAGTTTAGAGAGGTTCTGCTGATGCCTGTTTGGGAGTAGGAGACTGTCAGAAAAAAGGTTCTGTTCATTCTTTGTTTTGGAAAAGTGGCCAATCACGCAAGTCAAAGCAATAGGATGGTGCAATAGGATGGTACCACAGACGGCCTGTGTTTAAAGGCTTATTCTTCAGAATCCAGGGACTGTTTGCTCTTTGCCCTTTGTCAGTAAAGTAGAGCAAATGAAAGCAATTTGGAAAGATCATGAAGGGAGATTGTGTCTTCAGACCATTTGTGAAAGATTCTTGGGCAAATAGCAGGGAAATAATTTTGGCCTGTATGTGAATTGGTGTAAATTGCTTTTTTTTTTTACTATAAAAAAGTAGATAATTTTAGCAATGCTAATTTTGCACCTTCTGTTTTGCAGAATCTCGGTTAACAGCAATAATGTTCAGTCTTTACTAGATGCAGCAAACCAATATCAAATTGAACCGGTGAAGAAAATGTGTGTGGACTTTTTAAAAGAACAAGTTGATGCTTCCAATTGTCTTGGTAAGAGAAGTGCGGACTTGAATTTACTGTTTATTTTTTAACTTTGCTGTTCCAGAAGAATAGGTAGTATTGTCTAAAAGACAGTAATATTTGGCTAAATCCAGGCACCTAAAAATAATTTAGCTCTGAATCTGAACTCTTGCCCCTTGCCATAAACAAAAAAATCTAGCAGGTGTTTTCACCAGTATCAGGGTCCACTGACTGTGCTAGGTCTTATTCCATCTTGGCAGGATCCTGGAGCTTCTTGTTTGTTAGAGAACCTCAGCTGTTTAGTAAGGTGGTGCTTTTAGTTGTTGTTACTGTACTTGGAGACAGAATTTGACAGAGTTGCAATTTCTACAAAACTAGCATATCTTCTAAAAGTATGAACAGGATAAGTTTAGGTTACTTTTGGTTTTAGTTGCTTTTCATTTTGACTGAAATCCATGAATGTCATCTGGGCAGGTTTGATATTAAATATGTTCTGTAGCCCTAATGTGAACTCAGTGTTACAGAAAACGTAAAGAATGAATAGAAGTAAATGCTTTTTCATGCCTAAGATCTGGTGCACTTTATTTAATCAGAAATTAAAGAAAAACTTATTTATAGGTTTTCTTATTGACATTTGTCACCTAATTCTCCTAGACATCTCAATCATGTTACAGATGTTTGTAATACCAATAGAAATGTTTTCCTGAGTATCTGAATTATAATGATTCAACTGACACTTCGGTGCAGTACAGCTGTGGTGCTGAAACAACTGCGCTCTGAAACAACTAGTGGAAGATAGACATTACCTTCTAAGGAAAGTGCCACTTATGCTTACTTTGAGGCAGATTCCCTCCTGTGGTTTTTGTTAACTAGAAAATTAATTATGGTCTCTAACACTTGGGTACTTTGTTGCTAATTTATAGCAAAAAGGGAGATAAAGATTAAATCAATTTTTCCTCTAGGCATTGCTTAAAAGTTGACGTGTTCTGTGCAGACTCATAGGCAAGTACATTTTTTAAAAAGTGTATTTGAAAGAAGCCATGGCTTATTTTTGAAAATTTTGTCAAGAGGTCATACACTCGGATTTTATCTTTCTAGTTTGCATTTTACTGCTTAGAACAGCTAAGGCTAGCTGCAGCCCTTGGGTTGGTGAGTTACTTCTACCCCACTTGCCATCTTCTCCATAGGAGGAGGAAGACGACTGTAGCACGATGAGCAAAAGTTGCTGCTGAAAAGCTCTGTGCTTACCTGATTTCTAATGGGAAGGTTGGAAACGATGCTTCTCAGTATGCCAACCCTTTCCCCTTGCAGCAGTGTCAACGGGACTCTTGTGTTGATCTGCAGCTGACTGTGCTACCTGTATAGAAAAGTCCCAGTTCATTGTTACTCTTGAAGGAAATTGGGCTTGGTGGTGACTGCTGCTGAACGAGCTGGTTGGGGAGGTCGTAAAACCCGGATCCAGTTTCTCAAGCTGTTCTGGTTAGGCTTTGTTATTGTGATATGGCTCAGACCTGGTTAAGGTGTTATCTGCTTTATAATGGGGAAAGATGCAGACAGGAAATAGTGCTAGAGAGACAGTTGATATAGCAAGTGCTGCAAGTCTGACTCTCCAATTAGTTTGGTAGGGATAGGGATCAGATGCTTGTGCTTATCTTAGTTTATCTTGAGTTGCAGATGAGTTATGACAGCATGTGTTTTAAAGGAGAAAAAAAAAAAGTTAAACTGGGGTTGCAAGTAACTCTGAAATTATGGTAATTTTATTCTATTTTAATATATTAAATGTAATTGCAGTTCAACTTCGGAAGGGTGTTTTTCTTAATTTTTCCATCCTAGGTATAAGTGTGTTAGCAGAATGCCTAGACTGTCCAGAGCTGAAAGCCACTGCAGATGACTTTATCCATCAGCATTTCACTGAAGTTTACAAGACGGATGAGTTTCTTCAGCTTGATGTTAAGCGTGTGACGCACCTCTTGAACCAAGATACATTGACAGTGAGGGCAGAAGACCAGGTGAGATCCCTGTTTTGTACCAGCTAAGAGCATTGAACTTTTTTTGATCAAGAACTGGTTTAAAGTATCTCACTTCCGATATTCCTACAGTATATGATGCACATAGTGCTTGCTAAATTGTAAAATAAAAGGTGCATCCTAGCTTGGTCAAAACCAAACGTTAATGAAGATCCACATTTCAAGTGTGATTATTACATGTGTTGTTTCAGTAGGCTAAAAAGAAAGAAGTCATAAAGAGAGCAGGCAAAACAGTTTCCTTTGACAAGATAGCTATAAGGCTTCTGATTCCATAGTACATGAGCTGAATGAAGTTTGATGTATAATAGCAGTTGCTCCCAGATTGGGGTTTGTGTGCTATTGGTGAAAGTGAACTACTTCAAAGTGGTAAGCAAACTGCACCTTAATGGCTCTGGTCTCTACCAGAGTATGGTCTCAGCCCATTTCAGAGAGGAGTTGCTTGTGATAGAACCATATAGTATAGTAGCATACACAAGTTAAGCTTGGGGAACTGAGGGACTTGGAAGCAAGATGAACAAACCCCTGAAAGCTAGATGCATTGACAGTGATGGATTGATGGAAGGCCCTTATTTAGGGAGCGGATACAAAAAAGTTTAGGTGGCTGAAAGGGGCCTGGAGTTTCACTCAAATAAAAGTTACAACCTGTGGTAGAAATTACAATCACAGCTGTCCTGTTTGGAAAGCTTGATTCAGCTTATGGCACAGTCCTCAATGCTTGTTCTTCCTCAGTGCTGCAGGAAAATAGAGTATAGGTGTCTGCACTGCATCACAGAAAGGTGACTGCAGGATGGTTGTAGCTGCTGGGTACTTCTTGTAGCTTCTCAGTCAAATCTGTTGAAAACAAACTGAAATCTTGGCTTTCTAGCTATGCTGTTCCGGTGTTTGAACTAGGTAATTTAAGTTTGTTTCAGTGTGTCGTCATGAGTTGACTCATATGTTTGAAGTGCAACAGAGGGATCTCATAGCCAAGATGGTATGTGTAGCCACTTAGAAATGGATGTTTTCTTGACTGTGAAGTTTAGCTTTCACAGAATTAACATGTTTTCTTCAATGTATTTGTTGCACTAAAAAGCTTCAATGAAAATAAGAGCTACCAAAAGTGGGGGATAATACCAGGTGACTGAATGTGATGGCTAGTTACAAGTATACATATGAGTTATGTCACAGTTCAACATTCTTGCCATGTGCTGAGAAAACTTCAAGTCACAGGTTAACATTCTCAAAGCTGGAAGTGTTGTTTGGCTTGCAGCCAAAATTACACTTTGGAATTTTGTCTACCTTTTAGCCTGTATCTGGAGTTAAACAATAACCAGTTGTTCTGTTACCCAGTACCCCTCCTCACTCAAGGAGGGGAATCAGGAAAAAGAAGGAAGACCCGTGGGTTGAGATAATAATGTACACGGACAAGTGATGTACAGTGCACTTGTTCACCACCCCTTGACCAATGTCCAGCCTGTTCCCGGCTAGCAATCCCAGAGCAGGAAAGTCCTGAAACCACAATCCTGGAAGAGAGAGAGTATGCCTCAGGAGCAGAATGAGGGCTGGGACACACCAAAGATGGTGACCATTGAGGAGGAGTGTCCCCAGCAAGCTTCCCAATTTATAGTGAGCGTGATGTTACATGGTATGGAATACCTATTTGCCAATTTAGGTGTCAGTCACTCTGGTCATGATCCCCCAGGTTCTTGGACACCTGGGTCATTGGCAAAAACAAGTTGAAAAGTCTGTGATCATTATGGGTACGTGCATACTCTGACTGGCTAGAAACTAAACCAAAGTGTTCTCACCAAATCCAGTGCTGCAGTCGTCTTAAATGCAGCTTACTTTAGAGAAAATTGATTCTATCCCAACAAAATCAGGACAAATTTACATTCTTGAAGTTCTGTTGGTAAGGTAGAATGGCATGCTTTGACTTGGCAGCAGGGGTGGAAATTTTGTGTGGGCAGCATGGCATCATTAAAATTCCGTTAGGAAGGTGGCAGCATGCAGTATGAAATGGCAGAAGCTTGCCAGTGATACCATAGGAATCTTGTTTCTTGGGAACACAGCTAGAAATTTGACGTTATACTCTTAACTCTTGTATTGGTATAAAGCGTGTTTACATTTGGCAAAGAAAGGAAAGTAATTACTAGCTGTTCTATTTTTCCTGTATGGAAGCAATGTTCCCATTGATGAAGGGATACAATCTTCCTTGTCCCATTCGTTCTGTTGAATTCCCTTAGCTGATGGAATTGAGCCTTAAACATTTTTTTCATTTCTTTAGTCTCCCTTGCTCCCTGCTCATTTTGCAGAATTATAGCAGAGATGGTTTAGCAGTCCTTCTGAGTAACTTTAATTCTGCCATTAAATGTCTTTCCACATTATATCTCAGTCACTCACCACTGATGACTGTCATCAGCTTCAGCTACAGGAGCAGGTATTGACCCTGCCATCACTTGTAACGAAGTTAGTGCTGACTCTGAGGTGGCTTGGAAGTATCTTAGTACATAGGTAACACTGGATTTTTGTTTCATTCCTTCCTGACCCAGAGGACAATATGCCCCTAAGAAAATCCATTATCTTTTCCTGCAAAGATGAGAGAGAGGAGGTTCTCTGGTAAATTTCTGCAGCTAAAAACTTCAAACAGTCCCCTAAGACACAACAATAGCAAGACATTTGGATCCCCAACACTATGATTTGGTTACAGAAGCAGTTTGTGAGCTGGGGAGACTGTATCAAGTAGAAGCTATTGCAACGTTTCTGGTGAAGTATTACCTGCGTTTGTGATGTGCAACTGGAAGCGTATTAGCCGTAACCTGGTACTGGGGTTACCCACATCAATGTGAATTGCAGATTCACGCTTCCCATTTCGGGGGGGGGAAAGCAAGAAGGCTAAATAGCAGTAGTAGTGAGTTGGGGCTTTTTTAAAGATGAGTTTTATTCTGTGGTTGTGCATTTGTTTTACTTCATATCTGAGCATTTTCTCTTTGGTGTTTGGTTGGTTGTTTTGTTGTGAGATTTTTTTTTTGGAAGATGATGATGGATCCCAAATACTAAACTGTTAGTATAAGTTAATCTCCAACAGGTAGAATAATTAATTTGGAGCATCAAAGTTTTGTTATTTGTCTTACTGTATGGTGATATACTTTATCCTTTTCTTTCCTTCTCTCTTGTTTAAGGTTTATGATGCAGCAGTCAGATGGCTGAAGTATGATGAGCCAAATCGCCAGCCGTACATGGTTGATATTCTTGCTAAAGTCCGATTTCCTCTTATATCAAAGAACTTCTTAAGTAAAACAGTTCAGGCTGAACCACTTATTCAGGATAACCCGGAATGCCTTAAAATGGTGATCAGTAAGTTGACCTCTAGCTGAAATTTTTAATGTTCTGTATAATTAAAAAAAAGTGCTGTAGAATTTTTTAAAATTGTTTGCCTTAAAATGCTCTGACAACATTTTCACATTAAATTCATCTGACTGTGCTCCCTGTGGGATGCTGTTGTTTAGCTGAAGTTGGATTAGCAGAGTATCATGTAAATAAAATCCAGTTTCTGTAACAAAGTGTGACTTTCATTTCTTTTCTCCTAGCAAATAACATGAACTCCATGATAATTCATGACAAGTAATGGAATGGAGATTTTGTCAATGAGTCATTAGGGTAATTGGAAGTGTTAGTGTTCCTTTGGGACAAGCTAGTAACTTCAGTATTGTTCATGTTTATATGTGAATTAATAAAAGAAATATGTCAAAACTTTGAATATTATCAAGCTTCCCTAAGCAAATTAGAATGTTAAGCTTATGTTGCGCTATTTTTACCTCTAATATATACTGACCGTTGAGCCTACAGACACTTGCGTTCTCAGGGACCAGATGAGATAGGGAACAAGCTTCCCTTTTGTTTTTAGACACCATTTGTGAAATTGATTATCTAAGAAAAAAAAGCCTAGATGTTGATAAATATTCTGGAAATAATTTTTAAGTTTTGGTAGCAGTTAACTAGTCAGCTTCATTTTAGTGAGATCTGAAAATGCTACACAACTGTTTTCCCTCAGTCTCAATGAGCAAGATTCAAATTAACCTGTATGTTGGTAAGTATTTGCTGACCACCGACATCTCAGTCGTACTTCTTGTGTGACGTGAGTTGGGTGCATTGTGTAAGAAACAGGGATTTTTGTTTGTCTGGTTTTAGTGGCTTGTAATGTCACTAATATTTTTGCGTTCTTTGGAATGGTTCTTAGTAGAACGCCTGTTTTCTTATACCGATTGTAACTAATACTCTGCATTGTCAAGTGAAGAACAAAAGTGAGGGGTTTTCGTGAGGTACAACGTGCTAGAGGTGCCTGCCTTATTAATCAGAAATAGAAGGGTGAGGAGGTGGGTGTGTTGACTCCTCATTGCATTCGAGTTCCTGCTTTAAATGATGGTGGTGTCCTCTTTGTCGTAGAAACTCACTCGTTTCCACTTACAAAATACTTGGCTCCCAATTCCTCTCCTTATATACTCTTAAGGCTCCCAGTTCTGCTGTTCTTTTTCTTTGGGTTTGCTTCCTTTTGCCTATTTCAATGCAACAAACTTAGTTGCTTGTTAATACTGGCTAAATGAGCTGATTGATCAGTTGGTATGTAACATGAGTCTTCTATATCCATGTCCTGTTTTCACATGGAGCAGGTAGTTTCAAATAGGGTGTAAATCTGGATGTATGCTGCCATCCTCATGTGCTTTTAAATCAAAGCTGTATAGGTGTAACGTAGAAACTTGTTTTCCCTCCCTTCCCTCTCCCCGCCATCCCTGCCTCTGAAACACCCCTTTCCATGCATGGAAAGAAAGCTACACTGGATCTGCAACAGTTGTTGTCTTCCTTCCAGGTGGGATGCGATACCATCTGCTTTCCCCAGAAGACAGAGAAGAGTTAGTGGAGGGTACGCGGCCGAGAAGAAAAAAACATGATTATCGCATTGCTTTGTTTGGAGGCTCACAGCCCCAGTCCTGCAGATATTTTAATCCAAAGGTAATCGTTACCTCAGAATGCATTAAGATTCACTGTTTGTAATCTTATGTGTTTTATTTGCTGATGATATTAACTAAGACATAATCTACAAAAACAGTATTAGGAAGGATGTATTCCCTGCCTCTTGGGTATACAGTTGGAAGAGTGTGGTTAATTATTTTCAAATCTGTGCACCTAGATGTAATACTTCATTTTTAATACAATGATTATGTGTTTGTTTATTGGCAATATTAGATATGGAGTTCTGATAAATCCATCTGAGAATTGATTGGTATGTGCATCCCACAGCCAAAACTAAATAAAAGGTCACCAAAACATCAAGCAATCAGTTAGGAATATATGAAAGTCTATATGCATGTGCATGCACGTATGTGTTCAGAGAATAACTCAAAGCAATTTCTTTTTAGCACAAGTTACCTTCTTGGCTCATATATTAGTGTAGAACCCAGTTTTAGAGTGCAAGGTGGTTTTTCAGTGCATTTACTATAAATATGTAACCACTTCTAAATCCCAATTGTTCACAATTTTGTTAGTTCTTAAGAGTATATAAGGAGAAGAATTGGGAGCCAAGTATTTTGTAAGTGGAAGAGAGTGAGTTTCTACTACAAAAAACTTAGAGATAGCCAATTTAGAGTAAGCAAGCAAGCTTTGCCTGAAATTTGTTTCTATATTGCTTGAATAAAATCAAGCCACAGGAATGGTATATTTTTCAACTATGCAGACTAGATAGTCTAGAAACATCAGCTGCATGCAAAAGGATTATCTATACTCTCTTTTACCAGGCAAGGACATGCAATGATACAGAAAAGAAGGTGCTACATAAACATCAGGGCTTTCTAAGTTATGAGATCACATACATGTAATATTTTGTTGCAGAAATTCTGGTTGTTCTAACTCGGCATATTAAATGCTTGTTATAATTTGAAACAGTTTTGTGTGTTATCTGTATGAACTTTATAGTCAATGTGAGCCCTGTACAATCTAATTCAGAATGAATGAGCCCTTGGGATGTGCTTTGAACTCATCATTCACATTCTCTATGTAAGATAAAATTGAAGCAACCTTCTTTGGGCACCACTCAAGTCTGCAGAAAAAACTACCAGCTTCGCTGGCTTAGTTTGAGAGACATTTAATGTGTATTTTTTATTGGGAATTCCAAATTCCTAAATAATGACCACCTTTTTCCTTCATATGCATACTTAAGTAAGAAAGCAGCACTCCAACTGGGAGCAAGGAGGTGAAGGGAACAGAGCAGATAATTCTTTCCTTTCCAAGGTCTGAGTTGGAGAAGTCTTTGATCAGGGCATTCATCCTTTTCCAACGATTACTCAGTTTTGGCATTTTAGCAAGTTGCAGTTCACCCAGTATGCTCTGACCTTTCTTTTATTAGAAGGAAATCAGATCAAAGTTTATTTCTTTTAATCTCCAGCTACTTATGTTGGAACAAAGCTGATTTTAGGCAGGATGGAAACTAGCTTTCAGACTTATTGTCCCAGTCATTAATTGGCAATGGTATTAGCAGCAAAGTGTGCATGTGGTCTCTTTACCAGCCTGATAGGTTAAATTCCGTAAGCGTGTAATGTCAGTGGTGGTCAGGACTCAAAAGGTGTGGGGGTTGTTGCTACATCACTCTTCATAAACTAATATAAATACCCCCCAGTTGTCACCATGTATTTTCCAAAAACTTAAGTTTGTGTGAAAAAATAATAATCTCAATGCATGCTGAGTGGGAGCAACAGGCAAAGACTTACAGCTAAAAGGAAAATTACATATGTAGTTGGGTGATCTTCAGTCAGACCTAAACTATAATATTACAAATAAATCTGTTTTGTGGACAAAAAGTCATTCTATATAAGTCTTCATAAAGCATAGTATAAAATAGCTCATTTCTTTTTCATAGACTATTTATAAAGGCATAACACCAAAAAAAAAAATTGGAAGAAATTTTGCAGAACTGCCTCCTGTTCAAGCTTTATGGCCTTGCATGTGGATTAATGGGAGGAGGGGTGGGGGGCAGGGAAGAGGAAGGAAAAAAGTGAATAACTGGAGATCTCGATTCTAACAAGCATGTCTTACTTGGATGTTTTCCTAGTGCTTATATGCTTTCTTGGGTATTCTTAGCTAGCCTGTCATGTCTTGTTGAATAGTTTTTACTTACCTCACTTCCAACTCTAAGCTATTTAAATGTCCTTTTCTGAATGTTTTGCTTGGATATCTGAGTTCGAGCTTTAATTAACGGTGACAGTAGCAGCTTATACTCAGCAAACCAAGGATCCAGAACCCCTGTTGGATTAGCGTCACGTGCATGCCAAATAAGTGTGGGATGTAAGGCTCCAATGCTGCAAAGACTGCATCATGTTTAACTCACTTTAATTAGTCTCATCAAAAGCTGATGGAGGTGTAACAGAGCAGAGAATTAAGGTCGTGTATGTACTTCTGCAAGGTTAGGACCTTGGGAAAGAAGTTAGATTTTGGGTTTTTTTCTGTTGAACTGATTGAGTTGTGACCTAGTCCTTCACTTTTGATTTTAATTAAATTCAACAATTTAATTCGTACACATCAGCTAAAGAAACATTTCAAAACAAAGGTTATGTTTCTCCTGAAAATGTTTTCTCAGTTGTGATATTAGTTTAAATAATTCTAACACTAGAAAACTAGTGCAAAAAAAAAAAAAAATTAGTCTCTAATATCTGTCTTCATTTCCTTGTTGTCAAAAAGGGTTCTTTAAGAATGGACTGGATACTGTGTTGAGACTGATAGCAGTATTACTTCAAGTCTATATTTGTTGTCTTTGCACTGTAACTGGTATTTCTATTGCTGCAAGTACTTCATCAAGAAAACAAAATGATGCAACAGGACAGATGCAGATGGGCACAAAACTTGTAGAGCACTCTGGCACTATTTTTTGTTTTCAGATTCCAACTAGAAATCCTAGGTGTCATATTAACGGTGGTGGGAAGCACTTTCTTGTTAAATTTTCCACAGAATATTTTTTTAAGTGTCTC